GGGATAGGTTATTAACTGGTTTCCTTCAACGAGGTCATTGTTTGAAGGCAGAAATTAAGAGGCCACAGCACAGAAATGCTGCCCAAGCCTTTGCCTGGCACAGACTGAGTGGGGGAATTGCTGTCCATACAGCATAAAGGAAAGGCAGTGTTTTCCTCCAGAGGCAGCAGGAACCAGGATGGGGTGATCTAGGAGGGGTTTAACGGAAACACCAGACAGAGAGTGGGGCCGTCTGGGAAGACCGAGTCAGGCCAGGAGAGCTGGACCTCATGGCAGACTGTAGTCATTAGATGAGGAGTAAAGCAGAGGGCAGGTGGTGGCATCTCTACCAGAGGGAATGGCACAGGCAGAGCTGGGGCGGTTCCAGTGGTGAGCAGAGGTATTTGACTTAGGAGCGGGATCTCATCTTTGCAAGGAATCCTTAAGAAATGAACAGCCTTTCTGAAGATCCTCGCTTTATGTCTAAGCAGGAGGATTAAACTGGATAAAGTTGGCTTACCTTCCGCAGCGTGTTCTCACAAAGCATTCTTCACATACAGTTTCTCTTTAACCCTCAGCCCCCCCTTAGAGTTAGGTTAGGTACTGTTACTATTCCCATGTTAAAGGTGAGGAAATTAAGGCTCAAAGCTGTTCGGTTGCCTAAGTTCACAAACCTAGAAAGTAACGGAGCGAGCATTTAGACCTGGGATCCTGGTTCCAGTCCCTGTGCTTGAGAAGGGAAGGCCCACTTGCCTCCCAGTTCCCCAGGTTGCACGGAGGAGAAGAGCTCCAACAGCTACAGTCTTTCGACCTGTGTGTGGTAAGTGCCAACAAATACTTCAGGAGGAGCGGCCTCTTCAATAAAACAGATCTAGCAGGAAATCTTACAGCTAAGCTGTATGACAGCTTCTCTCCAATTCAGTAAACATCCCAGTGCTAACTTCTCACCACAGAATCAGAATGGCTTGTTTACTGGGACGTCGCAGATAAGAAACCAGAGCTGTGTGGCAAGTGTGGAACGACCTTCTTTATCAAACTGGTCCCGTGGGTTGTAAATCATTCCCTCCAGGAATGGTCTCCATAGTTTCCAAGAAAAGGCTTTTCTCAGAAAATACCAACTTGAGCATTTAGACTTAGGAGATTAAATCTCAATTAAGAAAGTAGAGAACATTACAGTTAAAAGATTTCTTTAACGACAAAACATGTACACCATTTGTTTCCTTGAGACCACCCACATGTTGGGAAATAATTCATAGACAGTTCCATCGGGGTGTAGTTGGAACTCCTGAAGAGCTGGCAGTGTGTGGGGCGGGGCAGTCACCATGACAACAAGCTCCTCTTAAACCGTCATTTAACTAAATCATCACGGGAGCAGTGAGAGACCTCTCCCTCAGTGGTCTCTTAGTACCAGACGGGGGCGCTCTTCTTACAGCCCTTTCATACTTGGTTGCTCCAACCCAGTTCTATGACTCCAGTTGCTAATGCTCTTGCTACAGTCTTTAAAGAAATAAGGTAAGTAACTCACCAAGGGGAACATGCTTAAAATCTTTTTTTTTTTTTTTTTTAGTTTTTTTTAATGTTAATTTATTTTTGAGAGAGAGAGACAGAGGGTGAGCTGGGGAAGGGGCAGAGAGAGGGAGACACAGAATCCGAAGCAGGCTCCAGGCTCTGAGCTGTCAGCACAGAGCCCGACGTGGGACTCAAACTCACAAGCCGCAAGATCTTGACCTGAGCCAAAGTCAGACGCTTAACGAACGGAGCCATCCAGCCGCCCCAGAACATGCTTAAAATCTTACAAAAGGCCTAGCAAAAGCAATGATGAATCTGGATAGTAGTAAGAAACAAACAAAATTGGTTTTCTGGCACTTGGTCATTAGACAAAAGTACAATAAGACATTGTAAAGTTTGAAAAGGAGGGAGGAAAAATCTTAAGAAAAAGGCTAAATATCTGGGGTGCCTTGGTAGCTCAGTCAGTTAAGCGTCTGACTTCAGCTCAGGTTATGATCTTTAAAAAAAAATTTTTTTTTAATGTCTATTTATTTTTGAGAGAGAGAGACAGAGACAGAGTACAAGCTGGTGAGGGGCAGAGAGAGAGAGGGAGACACAGAATCAGAACCAGGCTCCAGGCTCTGAGCTGTCGGTACAGAGCCTGATGCAGGGCTCAAACTCACAAACTGTGAGATCGTGACCTGAGCCAAAGTCAGACGCTTAACCAACTGACTGAGCAACCCAGATGCCCCCCCCAAAAAATTGTGTAAAGGCTAAATATCAAGTGAACATTGGTAGTTGGTTCCCTTTTCTAAACCGTGAGATCCTTTTACTGTCTTTGTTTGCCCAACACTAAATGCATGGCCAGTATACTTGTGTTCACTGATGGTAGGTCCTATTTCTTGGTAATTGGTAGAAGTTGATACACCAGGCTTTAAAAACACTCAACATTTGGAGGCGCCTGGGTGCCTCAGTTGGTTGAGCTTCCAAGCTTCAGCTCAGGTCATGATCTCACAGCGTGTGAGTTCGAGCCCCACACCAGGCTCTGTGCTGACAGCTCAGAACCTGGAGCCTGCTTCGGATTCTGTGCCCCCTCTCTCTCTGCCCCTCCCCACTCATAGTGTCTCTCTCTTTCTCTCTCTCTCTCTCTCTCTCTCTCTCTCAAAAATAAACATTTAAAAAAAATTTTTAAAAACACTCAACATTTGTAGATCCCCACTAACTCTGTAGCTGACAAGCGTTTCAGACAACATTGAGAACATTGGAAATACTTTTTATTTTCTAGGGGATTTGTATTGATGGGCAAAAACGACAGCTTTACTAAGTTAGCCTGTAGCTAGGTTGAAAATGCTTATGATTATCACTTTTAATTGCTGTGTTTTAATAATATATTTGGAGTTGTTTTTAAGTTCTAAATGGTGTAATAGCTTCCTTTTCCTGTGCAGTGCTATGTACCAGGCATATTTTAAGTGCTTTATCAATCCTCAGTGCCATTCATACAGGAAAGATTCAGTTAATTTTACTTTCTTGTTTAGCAACTCATCAGCCAAATCTCTTACTGATTTGCTTGAGTTCCAGGTACTTTTTTTCCTATCTCAATTCATTGATTGTAATGTAAGCCATGAATTTTTATGTAATTTTAATGTGATCATCATTTTCTTTAAGTTTGAGGCTATCACTTTGATAAAAGAGCCTTGTGAGATCTCCCTTCCTCCAAGAGTTCTCTAAGTAGACTGGTAGTTTTCAGGTCCCTGTAATGGTAAGCCTCGTGGTGATTGTATTAGAGTTAACAAAGGGGAAGAAAATTTCCCAGGTCCTTAATGGAAAAAAACAGATTGTCTTGTGTTTACTGTCTGTATGACCAGATGGACCACTGAATTACTTAAATGTTAATTTGGGATAAATTGGAGTGTGTAGAAAAAAATTTTTTTCAAGAAAACAATTAGGCACATACCTCCCACAAAACTAGGAGAAAATATTTGTAAGATGTATCTGGCCAAGGATTTATATCCAGATGATAAAAATAGCTCCTACAGGGGCACCTGGGTGGCTCAGTCAGTTAAGCGTTCGACTTCAGCTCAGGTCATGACCTCACGGTTCATGGGTTCGAACCCCGCATCAGGCTCTGTGCTAACAGCTCAGAGCCTGGAACCTGCTTCAGATTCTGTATCTCCCTCTCTCTCTCTCTGCCCCTCCCCTGCTCACACTCTGTGTCTCTCTTTCAAAAATAAATAAACATTTAAAAAAATTTTTTAAAAGAAGAGCTCCTACAAATAACTAAAAGTAAGTAAATTAAAAACAGGCAAAAAGACTTGAACATACTCTTCACAAAAGAAGGTATATGAACGACCAATAAGCAGATGAAAATATAAGAAACATCGTTAGGCATCAGACAAATGCAAATGAGATAGCATTATCACCCATCAGAATGGCTAAAATATAAATGACTAATAATAACAAATGTTGATGAGGATGGGGTACAACCAGAACTCTCCTACTTTGCTGGCAGAAGGTACAAAGTGATGTAATCACTTGGGAAAACTATTTCTCATGAAGTGAAATGTAGATGTTCCTGTGACCCAGCACTTCTCCTAAGTATTTACTCCAGAAAAATAAAAACTTAAGTCCTCAAAGATTTGTACACAGATGCTCATAGCAGCCTTATTATATAAAAGCTCCAAACTGGGAAAAAAAAAATGCAAATGTCCATCATAAAGAGAATGGATACATTGAGGTCTAGACAGGTGATGGAACACTACTGAATCCGTAACCCGGATGAAGCTTGTAGGCACAAGAGCGGGCATGAAGTGGGCTGCCATTTATATGAACTTCTAGAGCAGGCCAAACTAATTACAGAAACAAGTCAGAATAGCGTGTACTTCTTTTTATTTATTTGAAAGAGAAGGAGAAACAATCCCATGCAGGCTCCACCCCATCAGTGCAGAGTCCTGTTTGGGGCTCGAACTCACGAACCATGAGATCATGCCCTGAGCTGGGATCAACAGTCAGATGCTTAACTGACTGAGCCACCCAGGGGCCCCAGAATAGGATGTACTTCTTGAAGGTGGAAGTAGGATATCTTGATGGGGTAGTGTTATATGGTGCATGCAACTGTCAAAAAATCATCCAACTGACACTTTGCATTATATTGTTTCTACAACTTTTTAATTGTTTCCTTTCAGCAAATGTTAATTTGTTCTGTGGACCAAGATCTGGGGCTCTTTGTAAGAATTAAGTCATCTTCTAATTTACAGCCTAAATGCTTATTAAAATTTAGATGCGTATGTATTACTTAGGCCAGCTGCAATTCTAGTCGCTGAATTTTGTATTCTGTTTATTCAGAGTGGGTTAGAACACCTTCCTTTGTTGCTGTTGGATGAAATACAGATTGGGAGAAATAACCCGTCTACATCATTTTTGTTTTTATGGCGTAAAGCCAGGTCCACAAGGCCCCCAGCGTTATAGGATTATTCCTTTAGAAGACCACAGTGTTACAGATTAACTGACCAGGACTTTTTCGTTTTCCCTGGAAGGTATACAAGGGAGAAGAAGCAACATTCCAGATCTCAGGCCTCCAGACCAACACAGACTACAGGTTCCGCGTGTGCGTGTGCCGTCGCTGTGTAGACACCTCTCAGGAGCTAAGCGGAGCTTTCAGCCCCTCTGCGGCTTTTGTGTTACAGCGAAGCGAGGTCATGCTCACAGGGGACACGGGGAGCATAGACGATCCCAGAATGAAGAGCATGATGCCTACTGACGAACAGTTTGCAGCCCTCATTGTGGTTGGCTTTGCAACTTTGTCCATTTTGTTTGCCTTTATATTACAGTACTTCTTAATGAAGTAAACAAACCCAACAAAACTAGAGGTATGAATTTAATTAATGCTACACATTTTAATACACACATTTATCCAGATACTCCCCTTTTTAAGCCCTTCTGTTCTTTGATTTATATACTTCTCTTGTTTTACAGATTTAGCTAGGAAAAAAAAATATCAGTGTTTTGGTGCACCTTTTTGAAATGCAAAACTAGGAAGAGACTAAACTGGATTTTTTTTTTTTTTTTTTTTTTAAAGAAAAGCAAACCGGATACCAAAAGCTAGCTTTCATATGTTTTCTTTCATCTTCAGATTTACCTTTATTCTGTTTTCACTGATGTCTTTTGCAAGCCTTTGGTTGTTTGTTTTTTTTTCTTCCATGTTACAGTTTAGTAATTTATATTCACCAGTCACTTCTTTTGTCTTGATCATCGATATCTGTGAACATGAATCACAGTGTGTGTAGTTACAGGTCTAGGATTCCAGTGTTGTCAGAGTATTAGCACACAACTACAACGGCAACAACAACGTACAGAAGATGTGTTCGCTCAGATAAGGCTGCCCTAAACAACCCTTTTGTCACTCAGTTGTTTAACTGTGTTTAGCTCATTTGAATCAAAATGTGTACTTTAATCTAAAATGTTTTAATGATCTGTATTTCTTCTGATTTTAACACTATGAGCTGCCTGTCTAAGAAATCAAGTAACCAAAATGCACCTATAAATTATGGAGCATTGTAGATTTTTACCCCATCGATTCATAGCAGTAATTTTAAGAGGGCATTGTGCAATAGTTAGTTGTTTCCTTGTTCAGCTGTTTTAAAAGCTGCTTTAACTTGTTTGTTTGTCTTTGTGTAGAACTACTTCTAATCTAATCACTAGAGTTATTATATTCTGTTATGTTTGACCAGAGTTATATGGCGAGAACTGGTGACTGTTTAGTGCCTCTGCCCATTGTCCATGATTCATACTAATTGTGAGCAGTCTTCTTACAGCTTGTTGTTTTGGAAAGATTTGCCTTTAGGCTGTTCTTTGAGGTATCAATGAAGTGATCGAATTTCAATACCTTGATTCAACGCACATCATATTAATCTAACAGCAGATGAAAACTGGTAAAACCCAAACGAGAGTCATCTAAATTGGTAGTTCCTATTTTTGTGGGTTTGACCTGGCCATGTGTGGAGAGGGAATGATATTTGGTGGTGAGCACAGGGTGTTTGGGGGTGAAGGAGCCTAGATTCTCTCCCTGGATCTGTCACTAACTTGCTGCGTGACCTGAACACGTCACTTTACCTCTCTGTGCCTCAGTTTCCCGTGCATTAAAAATAAAATGAAATAAAATGAAATGGGGATTCTAATGTTTGTAAGTGCTTTGAGATCCTTGATCAACAGGTGCTATTGGAGTGCAAAGTGTTACTCTTGCATGTTTATTCTGAGTCATGAGATAATCAAGTTTAACCCAAAGTCATTGGATTATTTATATGAAGTCCATAATGTTCGCGTACCTCAGGGACATTTAAGAGTTGGAGGTGCAAATAAATATATTCCAAAAGGGTGCAACAGACACAGTGTATCCCCCTGCTTCTGTTTTTGTATATTTTTGCTACTTGGTTTTTCTTGATCATAGCGATTTTGTGCTTGGTCTATGTTGTCTTAAGATGCAGTATCCTGTACTAGCTTATAATATTCCCATACCAAAGTCATGGGGAAACCAACATTATTTTGTTTTTGGTTTATTTATACTATATTCTGCATACAGTACTTTAAATGCCAATTACAGTGCAATCTTTATTTATTGTAAAATTTTTTAAATGTACTTATGTACTAATTTCCCCTTGTAGCATGTTATTTTGTGTTTTATACTTTTGTAATTTTTAGGTCAGTCCTGTACCTTGGCAACATCTGTAGTATTATTATCAATCTTCTGACATTTTCTTGTGTTTTTAAAGAGAAGAGCATCTAGTGCATTAAATGCCAAAAAAAAAAAAAAAATCCATTATCAGTGATTGAAACGTTTACATGTACCCAAAAAACCATAATCATCTCTTGAAAGAAAGTGCTGAGATCAATGAATTACTCTGTGTGCCTATATTGATGTAGTAAGTACTAGAGAGTTTTGTATTTTGTTATTGACTGTAATAATTAGTTTAATTAGCCTTGCAAAGTGATGGCATCAAGGTAAATATATTTTTGCCAAAGTTCTGGCCTTCCAAAACTCAGCCCTCTGCTTAAGTATATATTATGACCCACTCTACCGTGGCATCTGCGTTTCCGGAGACCATTGCTTAAAACACACCTTCTCCCCCCAAAACACCTGCATGAAATGAAGAGTTAAGTGTGTCCAAAAACCCTGTTTGCTGGGTGGGGGGGAGGTCCCTTTTTGGAAACACTTCAGAACTGCTGCTATAAAGAAATTCTCTGAATTGGTTGAAATGTTTTAAATGAAAGAATACTTAAGGCCAAGACTGCTACGAGTACTTTATCTTTTTTGAGATTGTCATCCTGTTGAGCCACCAGAAAGCTGCAGTGGGTGAAATACCAGCTGGCGGCACTTTATTTTATTGTTCTTCGTGATTTGGTGTCCATTATAAACCCGTCAGTCCAAAAATTATTACTCCATCTGGCTCTGTTTTCTATCACAAATACGTATTTGTGACATCAGTATATAACTATATGTGTATTGCCGTTACACACGAACGATAAAATAAAGTGTTATATCGACCTTATTTCTCTTGCCCTTTTGCAATACGTAGGAATGAGTGAGTGGCCGATTCCCGATGCTCTGTATGTCAGATTCCTCCCTGGCACAAGAAATTCCAGTCATGTAATGCAAACTGCCCTTTGTCCTCAAAGAAACTGTTTAAAGAGAAAACTTTTTTAAAAGATTTTTTTCATATTATCTGCCTTGTTCTTATCAACTTGAGATTGTTGGCATTTTCTAACTGTGTTTTGTTGGCTACAGTAAATCAGTATTCCTGTCAAAATTGAAAAGTGCCCTAATTGAATGTGTTTGAATGTTATCCTTGCACAGTTCTTTAAATTGAAAGACAAAATGTTTTACCTCACTGTTGGACATACATTCCAAGGTTTTCAACTCTAGGAGAAAAAAAAAAATAATCATGTTTTCCTGTATTGTAAATTTTAGACTATTTCATACACATTGTATTAAAACTGCCATATCAATTTTAATGTATAGATTTTGCAAATACTATGCTATATGTAATACCTAACTGTATCTGTAGTGTATATGTAATATATTTATGCCCAATAAATGTTTTAATTCTTTCTGACGTAAGTAGGGTTTTTCTGCCATGAATAGGATTGCTTTTGTTGTTGTTGTTACTTTTTAAAAACTTAAACCACATCCCCAAAGTTGCACAGTCAAATGCCTTTCGAGGCCACCCAGGTGGCATCCAAAAGAGCAGTTGCACCCGAGGTCCTGCAAGATCACAGGCCATAATCACATGTGCTAATGTCTCAAAAGAAGCTAAAGATTCAGATTTCCCTGTATGGGACAGCTAAAATGTGATTATGGACAATACAGGCCCCGGGGGCTGCCAGTTAATTCTTTGTCAGAGTCTGCGTCCCTTACCTGTTATCCAAATGCCAAACCTTAGGGGCCCAGGTCTATCTCCATACACACGGAGACCCAGAATGCTCTCTCTCCAAGACGAACTCCCAGGGTTTTGACTTCCATCTTCCCTCCCCTGGGTCTCATTCAACAACAACAACAGCAACAAAGCACAGTGCCCCTGCTATGGCCATGGTTTCCTTATGTTCAGATGGTTTTGCTAGGAATTGCTAGTATCTTTCTCATTTCTGGAGGAAAAAAAATGTACAGAAAAACTTTCTAGAAGAAAATAAGCTCTGCATTATAAAGAGTGATGGCCATTCCTGTGAGTAAAGGTGACAAAGTGGACACGTGAGAGTTTGCATGCTCCTAACACTCCACTGAAAATCTAGTAAAGATTTGTTGTTGTTAATTGTTACTGTTGTTGAATCACAACTCCCCTCAACACTGGGAAGAATGGGAAAGCACTTGCTAGCACCAGAATTCTGGAATTCTAATTTCTCAAGGAGAGGACTGAGCATCACCTCAATTCACATGCAGAATACGCTGAAGGCTCAAAAACTGACATAACATGTCCTTTTGAAGTGATGATGAACAGGGAAAGGAACCTAAAATACTACTAGTTGAAAGCTGTTTCAAATGCCATTGGATCCATAAAATTCCTCCCGTGTTGTGTTGTTTCCAGTTGGACAGCTGCAACCCTGCAGAAGCCTGTATGTTTCTCCTCAAAAGGTAAAATAGAAATCCCTAGCCTGGGAGACGCAATCCACAGCTGAGAGTAAAGTTGTGTGTACCATATCAGAAATGGGATTCAGTGAACATATGCATACAGGAGACTATTAAGCGTGTTACCTAGAGAGCCTCATAGGCCAAAAAGAAAGATCTAAAGATGGTCAATGAAATGGTTCAGCCAGAGCATCCTTGGGTGGTTCTTCTCAGCCTGGGCTGCACAGTAATATCACCTGCAGTGCTTTTCAAAACCCCTACACCCACATCATACTTTGAACCAATAAAATGTGTATTTCCGGAGCGCTGGTGATTTTTTTAAATGTTTTTTTAATGTTTATTCATTTTTTGAGAGAGTGGGGGAGGGGCAGAGAAGGAGACACAGAACCCGATGCAGGCTCCAGGCTCTGAACTGACAGCACAGAGCCCGACGTGGGGCTTGAGCTCACGGACCGTGAGATCATGACCTGAGCTGAAGTTGGATGCTTAACCGACTGAGCCACCCAGGCGCCCCAGCATCGGTGACTTTTAAAGCCCCACAGGTGTTTCCTCTGTGCAGCCAGGATTGAGAACCACTGCCCCGAGGTGAAACACTCAACAATCCCCTGTCAGCTTTTGAGTCCTCCAGCTTAATGAAGAATGACCTGACATCTGATGAAAGCTGCTAACATGAAAAGCCAAAGCCAACAACGTGGAAGAATCAGAGACTAAGGGAGAAGCAACTTCAGGAAA